GTACGTGAACGGCAACGCGAATGCTGTCTTCGCGTGCGCTTGCTTAAACAGGGCCCTCGGTAACACTCAGAAAATTTCGGTGCCCTAGCTATTTTGATTGCGAAGTTATGTCGAATTTAACGTGTATGTACGTGAGACATGAAAGAGACGTAAAAGTCGTTAATACGTCCATCTGGTCAAAGGCCACCGTCGATCATGCTCAAAAAGTCCCAGTCCTCTAGCTGCTTCAATTCTGAAGTTACAAAGGTGCCTGTGTGAAATTTTCACGTGTTCGTACGTGACATACAAGGGGGCTGGAAAAATCATTTATTTTTACGGCCACAACAGTGAACGACAAGCAATGCTGCAAAATTGCACCTTCCCACAACTTTTTGGTCAGCTTAAATCTGGAGTTGGCAAGACGCCAGTTCAAGCTTTGACGTGTGCGTATGTGAGACCTAATTGTGTATGAAGAATAGATTTGAAATCTTTGGACTAGACACGGCCAAGGAATATCTCTGTTAAGTTTCAGCTTCCTAGCTTATGCCGTTCCCGAAACTGCTTTTCCGCCAAAAAACACTTTCGCGTACCCGCACGTGGGAACTACGCAGGCAGGAGAGTCCGTTTTGAGGATAGGGGCTTGCACATATATGTAAATTAAACTACCAAAGTTTCAGCCTTGCAGCTTTTGTGGATCTCGAGATGAAAATTCGTTACAGGCGCACGCACAGACACACATACACACAGACAACCCCTCGAAAAAATCATAAAAGTAGGTAAACCCTACGAAGTAAAGGTCAAAAAAGCGAGTTTGTTTGGGGGAGAAATTTGTTCTAGAGGAAAAATCAACGCTGTGCGGCAAAAAATCATAGAGCCTTAGGGGGCAAAGCGGGGGAGGCCGTATACGAGTAAGAGAAGCAGTGGCATGAAAACAGACCGAAAAAGCAAGAAAATGAACCAAAAGAGGAAAAGAATAGAAAAGCTAAAACGCTAGAAAGCTCGGACACATAAGGCAAAGCATCGATAGACGCTAGGGGAAGACATGAATGTTGTTCACGAGCCAAGAGCGGCTGAAATCTGCTCGAAATTGGGTCGTCTACCTAGTACCAGCGCGAATGCGGTGGCGCCCCGACCCTGATGCGAGTGTCAGATGCAGTGGCGTACAATTCTTTACAGTGCAAATTCTTAGCCAAATCTTTTGCACGCAGAGCAGAAAGGTATTGCATTTTGGAGAAGTCTAGCTAACAGTGACGACACGGCTCTGCTGAGAAAAGTCTTTTGAAATGAAACGTTTCCAGCTATTGAATCGCTGCTTGTCAGACGCAGTGAGGGAACGAACGATCAGGATGTTTTGGGGCTCGCGCTTAACCCAGTGTAAGGACTGGATCTGCAGGGAATCTATCCCATTTTGAGAATGGCACATACCGTCACTAAGAAGCACTTGAAAAAGGTCCACGGGTTTGATCACACTGACATTGGATCCTCCTGGTTGGAAGGTGTAGGTGGGAATGCCGGCTCTAAAGCCCCAGTTTCCCCTCGATTAATTCGACTTATTTTCTTCACGCTACTTCGATGGCTGCATAGTCCCTACAAACAACTCAATAACAAATTTGGGTCGTCGATCGTCCTGCTTTCTTCCGTTTTATGCGATTTAAAGTTTAGCAAAGCAGTAACTGTTGCGTTTCGTTATTGACGTTGCGTAAATCGTTCGCGTTGTATTTTTTCAGTAATAAAGTTTTTATAATCAAAATTTGAGGCTCAGTTATTGGGCTTGGCAGCACCGACTGAAGAACGGTCGGAATCGCATGAGTATTTGGCGGACCTTTTGTGTCCTGTAAACTACTGTATTGGTACTGATTAATTATCTGGTGCTGACGTTAAACCCGGTATTGCATTCTACTGTGATAAAGGAGCGGCTGAAAGGAAAAAAAGGCGAGAGTCCAAACGCAAGATTTGGATTTCATTTCGCTAATTTTGTTCGGGGAATAACATTCTCGAAGTGAAATTTAAACTCTTAACTGAACATCCCTGTACCTTGCTCTACTTTATCCCCCTCCCCCTCTTCTGTTTTTCTCGCTTTTATTTTTCCTCCGCCTCCGTATGCTATCGTGGCTTCCTCCTACCTCCATTTTAGCCACCGTCTCTTTTTGTTCCTCTTCCTCCCCTCCTCCTCACTCCTGATACTTTCTCTCCCTCTAAGTATGATCCAGGTTATCTTTTGATAGCAAAATTGAGAACGGGGAGGTTTTAAACTTGGGTCCGGGAGGTACATTATTACGATGCTTTTGTATACTTTATATGTGTCACCACGTGTTGTTTAAAAACCCAGATTTGATGTCACATAAAGCTTCTGTTTTGTTAGTTGTGCGTCAGAATATTTCTACGCCTAAAGGGGCAGCATCAGCTATGCCATTTTGAAGTGAATTGAAAAAGGAAGAATACTGTCCGTTTGCGCTAACAACATCAGCTGAGTTGAGTAAAGCAAATTTGCTGTGATTTCTGATGCTCTCTGACCGGCCCAGTCCTTCTTCATATTTTATTTTCTGCACATCACTGGCCTGAAGACCAAAAAGTTTCTGCTCTTTAAAAGGAGTGAGAAAACAAACTCTGCTGAAGAAAGGAGTCAAATTCCCCCTTTTAGGTCAATAAAGAAATTTATTGAGTCTAACAAACCAGTACCCCATGGCATTCTACCAAGTCAAAATTAGTTAGCCGAACACAACTAGTCAGCTGTTAACGTGAGATTAAAACGCCACGCCTCTAGTTCTCTTGAACGGAAGTTATTATTAGTAAAAAAAAAAAAAAAAATCCCAACGAAATTCGTCAGCGAATTGGCCGTGCATCGACTCTAGCATTGGCTGAGTTATTGTTTATTAGGCATAAAATGATTGCAGTTGCCTTGAAAAGTGGTCTTTTTCGTGCATTTAATCTGTATATGCTTTTCTTCATTTTTTTTTTCAGTAGATTCACCTCCGAAATTTTCTCACTTGATTCTTTCGTCTGATTCGTCCATCTTAAAATTCCTTGCGCTGATTTAAATTCCCAGTCATCTTATTCATTTAAAAGTGTTACTGGAAGACTAGGGCGGCAGTAAAGATGTACGTAAATGATGAACTAAATAAGTCGAAGTTTTTTACGAACAGGCCAGTTTCTTTTTTCTTACTGAGAAGTGGCGACTTATTTAATCCATCATTTGCGCATGTTTTTATTGATGGAGCAGATTCCTACACGTCATCTTAACTTTTTCAGCTGTTCGCTTTATCTGAGCAAAAGCGTGCGTGAATAAGCAGATTTTTATCGGTGTATTTTTGCTGTTGTATTTAGGTGTGCGTCATATTACTTTCATTTTATGGGATGTACATTGCATAAATATACGTTTCATTTCTCTTGATGTGACGTGTCTGCATGCATTTCACCAATCCTTTATGTTTTCTTATTGGTTTTTTAGTCGAGTTTTGATGTGGCCAGTATTCCACCGTTATGTTATATTTCGCTCATCGGGTATAAAGTATTTCGTTTGGGTTATCCCTACCAAATATCCTTAGTAACTTTGAAATGTGAAAAAAAAAGGATCATAATAAATGACAAACATTTCATCCTGGGCAGACAGCAGTTCTCTTTGTCATTTTCCAGTATTTGCGTTACCCACATCGACACAGATGTAACGGGAGCATTGGCACTAATGAAGTAACATGTATTACTTCCAAAAGCCTTCATACACTTGCATTAGCTACTTATTAATTGCTGCCTTAGCATTAGTGTGGGTTCGCATACTTTAGTTTCAAGTTTTCATCCTCGTTTCATTTTTTCTACATGGTTGCTTTTATCGTTATGTATATTGAAAGGTTTTGTAAATCCTGGCCCGGTTTCTCTCACTGCGGCGTCTGTGGCATTTCGGAAACTCCTCCTACCCTGTCCCAACGGCACAAGCTGCAATGTTACAAAAGTCCGGGTTTAAAGCTAAAACTGAAAAACTCTTCTGCAACCTCTTCCCCCTCGCCTCTCCCCCTCGCTCCCGTTCATCGCTGCGCCCCAATATTTAACTTCATGAAATGATGCGAGTTAATATGCCTGTGTACTCACATCTGGTTCCAAGCTAATCTTGCAATTAAACGATGAACTGAAATAATGAACTGGGAATTTCGGAGACTTTATGCATCCCACTGCGGTGTTGTATTTCTGAAAACATCCTTTAATTTTCGCTGTAACTTGTAATATTTGGACCAAGTTTAAAAACTAGTTTCACGAATTTCAGTTATTTTCTATTCTGTCTTCTAACGGACAAACATAAGCTGGTAACTCCTGAACGGGCAAGCCTTGAAATCAATGTTTTATTGGTTTTCGTACTGTGTTTCGTTCTTTTTTTCACGATAATGAAGTTCTTGTATGTACTGATTCATTTTACCGGCTGCACATCCCGCATTATCGTTGTCAAAAACGTTTAATTTCGCCAATTCCCATTCAGGTCATTCCTGCTGAAACGAACAAGCAGTGCTACACATTTGTTGCACTTTTATTGGCGTGTTATGTCAGCACTCGTTTCGAAGATGCAGGGTAAGCAAGCTACTTTACTGCACAATACTTTCATTTTCGGGCTGTTGTATGGCACGAGAGAACAAAGAGGGAGATCCGCAAGCTTCTTTCGAAGCGTGACTCAATTTCACTGTTCTCGTATTTTCAAGACCCTTTTGTAAGCCTTTCATGGCGACTGCCTAGTGCGCTTTTAAGCTGCACACGTGGGTGTGCTTCATCGGGGAGCACTTTTGGTAGCCTCCACATTTTTAACAAAAGAGTGTTTTTTACAGGAGTGTGAACTAGGGCGCAAAATCATATTCGGGACACCTTTTTAAGTAATGAAAAACCGAAGAATAAATGACTGACTTTAGGCGCTGTCGCGCATCTCCCTAGCCTCAGGTATGTTTGCGAAGAAGCTGTTAAAACAGGCACTTGTAGAGAAGCACTTCCTCGATTACTCTTAACATCTAGAAAAATAATTTCAGAGAAAAGAGCTCCATCGGCGGATGGTGATTGTTTGGTGCAACCACTGCTTACCGACTTATATCAGGTCACGATGTGCTATAGTTACTGGCATGCTGGTATTCACAGTACTCCTGCTGTCTTCGATCTTTTCTTCCGGTATGCTGGAATTTGTCGCAGAAAGTCAACCCCAAGCTAGAACTCATCAGGCGTGCTAGTACGGTTATGCGTTTTTGTATTAGGCTTGAAACAGTCAGGTCGATAATTGCATGAATGGTTGTTGGTTTACATCCACCTTGTGTACTCATAGCATGAATCATCATACGTCATGCATAAAGGAAAATGAATAATTTCCGTCTGACGGCCATTCTTTGAAAGTGACCTAGCTGCGTCAAAATTTCCCGTCAAAACTTCTAAGTGCCCGTATGTGAGAACCTTTCATACCTTGGGGCTAAGTTGAAAATATTTAAATTGTACTTGGACAGGGAATATTACCGTAAAATTTCAGCTTTCTAGCTTTTCTGCCTCCCGAATTAGTAATTTTCCTGCAAAAACATTCAGAAGCCCGTAGATGAGTGTCACGCGCCCCGAGGGAGCTGAATTTGAAATCTTCAAGTGTACGTGAACGGAGAATATACCCCAAAAATTTCAACCTTCCAGCCTTTCTGGTTGTCGAGTTAGCAATTTTCCCGCTAAAATCTTCCCATGTCTTTACGTTAAAACCACGAATACCTGGGGTCTGAATCTAAAATCTTTAGCTCGCACATGCAGGGAGAATATTTCTGCAAAGTTTCAGTTTTCTATTTTGTCCGGTTCCCGAGATCACTTTCCCGCCAAGAAATTTGCATTTTTTTTTAAGGCGGCGTCCGTACGCGGCACCCAAGCGTAGGTGGGTGATGATATTAAAACGGGAGAGTCGCACGTGATGTAGGCACATATTCTCGAAGTTTCAGCTTTCTAGCTTTTCTGGTTCTCGAGCTGAAAGTGGGTGACAAAAAGTCTGGACACACAGACACACGCACACAGACAGCCACTTGCCAATATGCGTTTTTGCATTTGCACATATGCAAAAATGCAAAAGAAACGAAATTTTCATGATGTGGAGGTATTTCGTTAGATTTTAAGCCTTTGTTTTTCTTACAAAATCTTACACAATTGCAACACGCTATGGAAATATCACTGCACGGCTTTGACAGACGCCCAAATCCACATACCGGTAATTTTTGTCGTATACTCCATTGGGAGAAGACACAATCATAGGTGAAATTACAGCTTCACACATGTTTTTTACGGGGTACAGGAGGTTGCACATAACTTTGTGTTCTTCCTAGATGTGATCAGCTTCTGCCCAAGTGTCGCCCCACATCAGTCCCGTTATTGATCCACATCGAACTCGGAATGTCATTACTGCACAATTTTTTTGAGTTTTTTACGTGAAAATTTTCCTTTACAGAAAGAATCCATTTGGTGGCGAGTATACAGTGTTTGCGGGTTTGGAGGACTGCTTGCATTATATCAAGAATTTTCAGTTCTCGAAATCAGGTTCGCCTTTTACTTTTGATTTTTATAGCACTCTCGTAATTCAACCGATCTTTTTTTAGACATTGTCTTTTTGCGCTCGGTATTGCCGGGAACTACGAATCCAGCATTTTTTGAGTACCTCGAATCGCTTGACTGCAGCAGTGTGACCGTTCGGGCTGCCGCGGAAGGTAGTATAGTTTTTCCGAATGTTCCATTAATAACCGTCGAAGGTCCGATAGCTGTTTGTCAGCTGTTAGAAACAACACTGCTTACTCTGGTCAATTACTCAAGTCTCGTGGCTACAAATGCGTTGCGATTTCGCAGTGTAAGTTATCTCCTCTTCCATTGTAGCCACTTTGAAATTTTATCAAGATGATTGTTTTGTTGTGCATTACTTCGTTAAATTGAGGGGCTGCAAATAACTGCTATGTTATAGGCGTCTTTATGCAGTTGCGGAAGCGCATATTGTCGAGAGGTTGTTATATGTGTGTGTTCGGTTTTTTTTTTTCATCGACATCCAGTTCAGCAAACACAGAAGCTAATTGGCTGAAATTTCATAAGGATGTTCCTAGTCTATGTGCCATCAAAACAGCTTAAAATTAACGCTCGCGTATGCCTGAGTCTCTTTCACGGACCCCTAAAAATTGTGAATTTCGTGACGGAAAAACTATTTCGGAAATCAGATGGAATGGTGTGCTGAAAATTCACTGGATATTCTCTGCCCATGTGTGAGCAGAAAGTTTCATCTCAGCTATCACGTGCGCTTACGTTAGGCATGTGGACACTCGAGACTGAAATTCAGACACTGTTGGCAAAATATGAATTGGAGAATCAACCTAACTGAATACTCTTTCATCTTGAGAATATTTGTTACTCAGGCACGGGCAAGTAGACATAAAATAAGCTTTTGTGCGTGCTCGTGTAGTGCATCTGAGCACGTCAAAGTATTTCTAGCGATAAGCGATTTTCCAGTTAGTTAAGATAGGAAGCTGAAACTTTATGAGATATTCTTTGCCCATTTGCTGCCGAAATATTTTAAATTCACCTTTAAAGCATGCCTAGTTTTCGCGTGTGGATAAGTGAAAATTTGATTTGGGCACTGCTGGCATTCAATTAACTCTGTTATCAGGCTATGTAGGAAGTAGTATTTCTCTGAGGGTATTCGCCATTTGTGCGCGGGACAGAAAGCGTAAAATGAGCTTCTGTTTGGATGCGGGTCCTGCGTACAGATGCGTCAATTGTTTAAATAAGAACCCCGCAGACACATCCCGCTGCAGGCAATCTTTCAACTGGATGGAATGATGCAAAAACGCATGATCACAGTGGTAAGTCGGTGCGTCGCTATTTGGATTTTTTTTTCTCAATTTTATCGAATCAGACAACTTGCAACGAAGGATGACTCAGTTGTGCAAAAATTTGACTGATTGGATTACTGTTTGTATAAAGAGCTTAATAACGGGTGCTCTGTTGCGAAGTTGAGCAGAGGTTTAATATAGGGCATTTTAGGCTGCTGGAAGTAATGTACAGCTTTTTGAATTTGGTTTGCGAAGAGCCCAGGGGCCAAATGGTGGTCTTTCAGCAAGTAAATATTGCTTCTTAGGAGGTAAGTGCAAAATTTGATGCAAACGGACAAATTGCTCGAATTTTAACAGTTGTGTGTTTTTGCATTTATGTAGGTGCGAAATCATATACTGTCACGAGATTGTCTTAGTGTGGGTGTGTGTGTGTTTGTTTGGGTTTCATTCTATTTTCAATTCAGCTTGGTAGAAGCTGGAATTTTTGGAGCATGTCTTCATTTTATCTGTCTTTTCCACTGTGAAATCTACGTTCGCCTATGCTTAGCTTTCACACAGGGACGCTCATGAAAGGATTTGGCAGGAGGGGATTTCAGAAACAAAAAAGGGCAGAAATCTGAAATTTTGCAAGGATGTTCTTTGCCCTTATGTTAGTTAAAGACTTCAAATTCATCTACCACGCACGCAGACGCCATACTTACAGATACTTGAAAGTTAAGATTGTAATACTGTTGACAAAGTGCCGGCTCAAGAACCGGACACAGCAGAGCGTCCTGACTATGTAAGAATATTTATTCTTCATAGACATACATGTAAGCACAAAATGAACCTTGGCTAAGTCTGTTGGGCGTTTGGATGCATCAGAGATGATTGTAACGAAGAGCAATTTCACGAACCACTCGTGTTAGAAAGCTGAAATTTCACGAGGATGTTCTGTACCCTTGTACGACCCAAATATTTCAAATTCGGATTTAAATCGCCTAGGTCTCATGTTAAGCACAATTTTCAGTTTTGGACTGTTTTAGCACTCGTTTAACTCTGCAACCTGACTGAACAGGAAGCATCACTTTTGTAGGGACATTTTTATGCGTTTTTACCATGCGGCGCTAGAGTGCTGCAACAGGCAGCAAAAACGCATATTGCAACGACCCTGTCAGTGTGTGTGTGTGTGTGTTTTTGCGTGCGTGTGTGCGTGCGTGTGTTCGTCCGCCCAGGTATTTCAACTCGCCAACCACGCAAGCTTTGAAGCTGAAATTTTGCCAGTATGTTCCTCAGCCAAGTGCCATCCCAGGACCGCGGAATCAACTCTCACGCACGTCTGGGCCCCGCGTACGAGCACATGAAAATTTCGGCGGGAAAACTGATAACTCGGAACGAGAAAAGCTAGAAAGCTGAAATCTTAGGGTAATGTTCCCTACCCTTGTGTGACAAAGAGATTTCAAATTCAGCTCCCTGGGCTGCTCGGGGCTTATGTACGGGCACGTGAAAATTATGGCGAGAAAATTCATAACTCGAGAATGAGAAAAGTTAGAAAGTTGAAACTTTGAGGTAATGTTCCCTATTCACGCATGACCAGAAGTTTTCAAATTCAGCTCCTTAAGATCGCCCGGAGTTCACGCACGGGTACGAGAAAATTTTGGCGCGAAAATTACTAACCCGGCACCGGGGAAAACTAGAAAGCTGAAACTTTAAGGGGATGTTCCCCATTCATGTACGAGCAAAATCAGATGTCCGGAAGCGCCCGAGCCCAAGTACTCGCGCGTGGAAATTTTGGCGCGAATATTACTAACTCGAGAACGGGAAAAACTAGTAAGCTGAAATTTTACGGATATGTTCCCTATTCATGTAAAACCGAAATCAGGTGTTTAGAAGCGCCTCAGCCTACGTATGAGCGCGTGGAAATTTTGACGCGAAAATTTATTAACCCGGGGGCGGGGAAAGCTAGAAAGCGGAAACTTTCGGGGAATGTTTCCTGCTCATGTACGACCAAAATCAGGTGTTCAGAAGCGCTCGGGCCCCACTTACTGGCATATGGAAATTTTGGTGCGAAAATCACTAGCCCGGGAACGAAAAAAGCTAGAAAGCTGAAACTTTAGGGTAATGTTCCCTACTCATGTATGACCAAAA